GGGCCCCCGGAGGCAGGTTAAAGCTCTCCAGGATGGTGGCTGTCAGGTTTGCTTGAACCTGGGTGCTCTACCACTGAGCTGCACCCCTAGACTGACRGACGATTGGCTTTGGTATGGGGGATTGAACCCAGGGGCACACCCCCAGTCTCCCCACCCCTTTTCTGAGACAGAGTCTGACTAAGTKACTTTGGGCCTGGCTAAATTGCTGAGGCTGGCTTTGAGCTCATGATCCTCCTGCCTCAGCCTCCTCCTTGGGATCACACCACGGCCCGCACATGTTTTTTTTATAATATATTTATTTTTAGTTGTAGATGGGCACAATACCATTGTTTGTTTTTTTTAAATGTGGTGCTGAGGATCAAACCCCGTGCCTCACAYGTGCAAGGCAAGCACTCTACCACTGAGCCACAGCCCATGCCCACATTTTTTGGGGGGTACTGGGGATTGCCTTCAGGGGCACTCAACCACTGAGCCACATCCCCAGCCCTATTTTGTATTTTATTTAGAGACAGAGTCTCACTCAGTTGCTTAGTGTCTTGCTGTTGCTGAGGCTGGCTTTGAACTTTTGATCCTCCTGCCTCAGCCTCCTGAGCTGCTGGGGTGACAGGTGTGCACCACTGCACCTGGCCCAGGGTGCACATTTTATTTATTTATTTTTTGTGGTGCTGGGGATGGAACCCAGGGCCTTGTGCATGCAAGGCAAATGCTCCACCAACTGAGCCGTATCCCCAGTGTGCACATTTTAACACACACTCTTAACGACTTATTTTCAGGAGACTGGGTGGATTCAGCTGTTTCCTCTTGCTGTGCATGACAAGGCCTTCCTGGGCTGTGTGCACTCATCACACCTTCTTATCATCGTGGCAAAAGTTTAGCTTTTCTTTAAACCACAAGCACACAGTGAACGTTCTCAGCCATCTGTCGGCCAGGCCGTGGGTGCTGACCGGTCAGTGGCTGCACTTGTTCCCCGTACCTTCCCTCTGGTTCGGCACCTTGCTAAGTCACGTCTTCAGGAGCCAGGAGCTGTGGCGCACCCCTGTGACCCCAGTTCCTCTGGAGGCCGCGGTGAGAGGAACCTGGTGCGCCCCAGGCCCTGGCTTCTCTCCAGTGCTACCAAGAAGATGTGCTTTCGGGGAGGGTATGTGGTGGGAAGATCCTTAGTTCTTATGGACGTGGACATAGTTTTGTATTCTTGCCTTTCAAGTTTCTAGTTCAAAGCTGCTTTTCTCAGGTCTTGGGGAATATTATTCTTTTGTCACCTGAGTTTTCTTAGCTACATCGTRGATTCCCTCTCCGTCTTCCACAGTTTGTTTCAGTAACAGGTGTCTGTTAAGGAGGTGTGTTTCCCAAAGAGATTCAGAAGGTGCTGTGGATCCCACGGAGGCTTCCTCACCTCTCCTATGCCTCCCACGTATTTCCAGCTCCTGTTCCTGTTGCTGTGCATGACATTTTGCCATTTAAAACTCCACTCATTAGGGGTTTGTTTTCAAGGATACATTTTAATTTTGAAGATTTCTGTAATCTTAGTGCTCAGGAGGTTGAGGCAGGAGGATTATAAGTTTGAGGCCAGCCTCAGCAACTTAKTGAGACCCTAAACAATTTATCAAGACCCTGTCTCAAAATGAAAAAAAAAAATAAATAAAAAGAGGGATGCAACTCCGTGGTAGAGCACCTGCCTGGCATGCTTGGGGCCCCGTTACCTGCAAAAAAATAAATATGTTTTTTTTCCCTTTTTTCTTGGTAATGCTCTATGTGGAGTGCCCATGAGCACTCATGTCACCGCAGGGACAGCCACGTCTTCACCACCTGACCCGTCCAGGAGGATGTCCGCCAGGAGCCGGGTCCTCTGCAGCCTGGGGGCTGAGGCAGCTTTTCCTGGGCAGCTGGGGGTGTGTGCTCCACCTGAGCAAGTGGACTGAAGTCCTGTTGAGGCCGGGGCCTCGCGTCCCCTGGTGCGAGCAGGCTGATGCCAGACAGAGGCACGGACTTGGTGGGTGGCCAGGTGACWGGCACGCCATGTGTAGTCCAGCGTGGGGCAGGACGCGCAGTGGCTCTGCTTTTGGGACCCCCCCACTTCAGGCACCCTGAAGAGCCAGCGGAATGGGCAGGGGCAGGGGGGTGAGAAGTCCACTGCAGAGGCACCTGCTGCCTGGTCCTGTGCACAGAGAGGCCCCTGTYTCCTGCAGGCACACCATGATGGACACTATTCGCGGACCTACTGGAACCTTCTGGCCATCTTCCTGGCCTTTGCACGTGTTGGAGGTAGCCAAGGGGCCTGCCAGCAGCACTGTCACCCCACCAGCCCCTGTCCCTGCCACGCTCTGCCTAGTCCGGGCCTGTGCGTGGACGGTGTGGCCAGGAGACTCCACTCCATCCTCTTGGTCCTCCAGAGCTCCCTGCACCTCCACCCTCCTGCTGGCCTCTGTCCCCTGGGAGCTCGCAGGCCATGCACCCCTGGGTGGGCTCCATGGTGGTGGGCCATGCACCCCTGGGTGGGCTCCATGGTAGTGGGCCATGCCTGGGGAGCAGGTGCTGGAGCCCATGGTGGTGGGCCATGCCTGGGGAGCAGGGGCTGGAGCCCATGGTGGTGGGCCATGCCTGGGGAGCAGG